CACAGCCCTGTGCTCTCACCTGTCATCCTTTCCATTGCATGACAAGAGCTTCCATGGGCGAAGTCTGAAAGCTTTTCTTAACAATGGCAGAACAAGAAAGGTGGCTATGGGCAGCCAGCATGCAGCTGCAGCCCTTCTCCTCTCCTGGGGTTTGGGGTGGGAGGTGGTGGTGGGACACCTGCTTTGCTCCCTGGGTTCCTCCTCAGAGTTTCTCTATGCTCTGAACCCACATACTCTTCATTCTCTTCATGCTGGGAAACAAACAAATTACGCTTTAGCCTCCCACCAGGCTGACAGCTCTGCATGGGGTCATGAAGTGGGGCCAAGGCCTCTCCACCAAGCCCAGGTGAAAGCCAAGGGCACCGTTGGGGCGGGCTGGGGTGAGTCTCTGGGGAATGCACAAAGAGCAATGAACCTGTTGGTGGGGTAGAGGCCATAGACACAGAAGGACCGTGTGGGCAGAGAGGGAGGTCTCCTCCAGGACCTCACTCTCCCCTCTTCTCAGGGCAGGGCTAGGCCAAAAATTGAGCACTCATGCTGGGGCAGGGGGAGCTTGAGACACAGTGAAGCCCTAACGAGTGTATCCAGATTCCACAAATATCCAAGAAAGTCAAATGAAAAGCTGATGCCTATTGCTGGCTTCTCTCTAGGTGGGGATTATGGGACTCTTTCCCACTGGGTTTATGGATAAATGGAATCCAGTTATGGGTTTAATCGCAATGAAACAACCTGCTGCTTAATTCCCATGTGTTGTTTGGGAATAATCCTAAATGGGATTTCAGAGTGTATCCCATTTGGGATTACAGGATTAACCCTCGCTGTGGTGATGGGACTAAACTCAGGGGGGTGATGGAATTACTCCTCAATGGCATTACAGAATCCTTTTCATTGGGAAATAAGGATGAATCAAAACAAACTTGTGGGGTTGTTTCCCAGGGGTATTATGGGATTATTCCCCAATTGCATTATGAGCTCTTCTTCCCTCTGGAAGCCATCAGACCCTCGTTCATGCAGCGAGTTGAGCCGCAGTTATCCAGCGAGGCACCTGTAGTCTAGGAAATCACAGTGTGAGCAGTCCCAGGAGAACCTTGAATCCCTTGCCAGATGCCACTCCAGGACGGCCTTGGCTTTCCAGCTGATGGAGAAGAAAAGGGCTGTGTGAACTGTTCCACTTCCTGATTCCCCATGAGTTAGTGTAGCAGGGTGAAAGGGAGAAGAAATGGAAGAGGATGCAGGAAATTGAAAGGGTTTCAGGTGGGAGAGAGGAGAGAGAAGGAAAGGGGAAGGGGACAGACAGAGAGTAGAGGACGTGAGTGAGAGGCAGCCTACGTATGGCAGAGAAATGAAGCAAGGCAGTAAGTGCAAGAAAAATGGAGGATCAAATGGTGATTTAGAGGTGGAAAAGAATAGGGAAGATATTATACACCAGGCAGAAGGCAGAGAGACAATAACCACCACTTTTCTTAAGTAGACAGAGCTAGAGGGCAAGAGGAGAACATGCTCTATTATCAAATACAGGGTGTGTACACTGGGCAGAGACCCCTCTTTGCATGGAAAGGTTTGTGCTCAGCTGCTCCAGACTTTGAGTCACTGTGTAATCTGATTTAGCACAGAAATATGTGCCTGAGTCATTGAGCAGGGCGTAATCGATCTCCACAGATAAGCAGTAGCCCTTAGCTCCATTACTCTGGAAGTGATTTCTGAATTTGTTCTCGATGTCTGCTTTGCTACCTTCCACTGAAAATAAAACCAGCTGCAGAGTGGCATCCTTCCCCGTGGGCAACTTGTACCAGTATATGGTGGACAATGTACTCCCCTTTTGGGAGCAGTTCAGAATCACAGAGTCTCCCTCTCGGACGACTGTGTCTGGCGATTGCTGAAGGGCCTGGCCTGGAAAGAGAAGGGAAGAGAGGAGAGGAGTGAAACACATGGAAGGGGACACGAAAAAACATCCTTGAAGTATGATACAGGATGGGGTGGCATAAGGATGTCAGCAAGCTCTGTGGGACAGCAAGCATCCTGGTTCTCTGAGAGAAAAACAGAGGAGAAATAAAAAACACTAAAGGTCCTCAAAGACAATGGCAAATTTGTTATGACATACAATGACTTCAGAACTCTCCATTGAAGTATTAAAATGGGACAGAAAATCCAGATTTGTAGCTCTGTGTCGTTTTCTGGGTTAGGAGGGTGATGAAAAGCTGACCTGGTTCCTTGCCCATCCTCCCGCAGAATGCCTGGGGAAGGGGGCACTGCCAACAACTGGGCACACAGCTGAGGCAGCAGCAGCGGCTCCAGGGCCGCTGCTCAAGGGGAAGAGAAGCTCACTTACCCACAGGGACCAGGATGGCCACCAGGAAGAGCCAGTGGAGAAGCATGGAGAAAGGGCAGCTGCTGCCAGCACCCTGCCCGTTGGGGCAGCACCGGCAGCCAGAGGAGTGAAGAGGAAAGGTGGAGAGAGGAAGAGCCACGTCTCTCTGTGGCTGGGCAGGGCAGGGCAGAGAGAGGGAGCCCCCAGGCTGAGAAGGCAGTTGGCTGCCTGGGAACAGTGGGCAAGGGCACCTGCACGCAGGCAGGAGGGGCTTCCACCCTGCTCCACTCAATGACGCACGTGTCTCTTTGTGTCTGTGTGTGGATGCAGAGGTGGGGAGAAGCCTCACCACAGGAGCACGACGGGGCTGTGAGGCAGCCTGAGTGTGTGCACAGCACAGGGATGCACAAGGAGGAGGCACCAAAGGAAGGGGAGAGAAAGAGAGCTTGGGAAAGCACGTTTGTTTGTGTGCCCCTCGGCTGAGTCTTCTCTCCAGCACCCTCACGCTCTCAGACCGACAGCCCACCAGCTGCAATCTGGAATCTTCTCTGCTCACCCCAGTGCTGCTCGTCCTGCTGCCCAGCAATGGGAAAGGCTGATGACATGTTGTCCTGGTGCCTGTGGAAGCATGACAGAGAGGACTTGTGTAACTGTTCTCCTCTTCCTCCACAGGCAGATCTCAAGGAGAGAAAAGGCTGCCTTTGGCTCTGTATCTGGACGGCCTCTTGGGAGAATCATAGAATCATAGAATTGCCCAAGCCAGAAGGGACCTCCAAAGGTCATCCAGTCCTACCTCCCCGCAGTCAGCAGGGACACCCCCAACTAGACCAGGTTGCCCAGGGCTTCATCGAGCCTCACCTTGAATATGTCTAGGGATGGGGCCTCAACCACCTCCCTGGGCAACCTGTTCTAGTGCTCCACAACGCTCACAGTAAAGAACTTGTTCCTAATCTCCAATCTAAATCTGCTCCCCTCCAGCTTAAAGCCATTGCCCCTCATCCTATATCTACAGGCCTTTGTAAACAGGCTCTCCCCAGCCTTCCTGTAGGCCCCCTTCAGGTACAGGAAGGCTGCTACAAGGTCTCCCTGGAGCTTCCTCTTCTCCAGGCTGAACAACCCCAGCTCCCTCAGCCTGTCCTCGTAGCAGAGGTGCTCCAACCCCCTGATCATCCTCGTGGACCTTCTCTGGACCCTCTCCATCAGGTCCATGTTTTTCCTATATTGAGGGCTCCAGACCTGCACACAATACTCCAGGTGAGGTCTCACCAGAGCAGAGTAAAGTGGCAGAATCACCTCTCTGGACCTGCTGGCAACGCATCTTTTGATGCAGCCCAGGATGTGATTGGCCTTCTGGGCTGCAGCTGCACACTGCCTGCTCATGTCCAGCTTCTCGTCCACCAGCACCCCCAAGTCCCTTTCCTCAGGGCTGCTTTCTAATACCTCACCCCCTAGTCTGGACTGATGGTGAGGATTGTTCTGGCCCAGGTGCAGAACCTTGCACTTGTTCTTGTTGAACCTCATGAGATTCACCTGGGCCCACTTCTCCAGCCTGTCCAGGTCCTTCTGGATGACATCCCATCCCTCTGGTGTATCGACAACACCACACAGCTTGGTGTTGTCTGCAAACTTGCTGATGGTGCCTTTAATTCCTTTGTGTATATCACTGATAAAAATGTTAAACAGTATCGGTCCCAGCACGGACCCTTGAGGGGCACCACTTGTCACTGCTCTCCATCTGGACTTCGAGCCATTGAGTACTACCCTCTCTCTGGATGTGACCAGCCAGCCAGTTCCTTATCCACCCACCCATCAAATCTGTACCCTCCAATTTGGCAAGCAGGATGTTGTGGGGGACCGTGTCAAAGGCCTTACAGAAGTCCAGATAGATCACATCCATAGGTCATCCCATATCTACTGGAAGACACCACAGAGCAATTTCTGAGGAGAAGGTTATGCACCATGGGATAAGCTGGTACAGACTGGCCTTCTCCATGCCAGAGAAGAGCAGATGCTCTCTCTTTTGTAGCATTCTGCAAAAGAGCAGCAGGATGAGGACGGACAGAGCTGGAGAAAATCCTGTCTTCTCCAAGTGGGGCACAGCCTTGTTCATCAACGCCAGGCTGTGGGAAATCCCTGCTGGCAGGAGGTGAGGATCACAGTTTGTCCTCAACAGGAAAGGGAGAAAAGAACCAAGAGGCTGTGCAGACAACTAGACAAAACCCCACACCCCAATATCCCCATCACTCCAGCTGAGAGGAGGTTCTGCTTGAAGTGTCCATGGGAAGGTAAACAGTGTATGGATCAAGGGGTGGGAAGTAGTGATCTTGACCCAGACACCTCTGTACATGGAGGAGTTAGTGATGCACAAAAGAGTTAACCCAAGAAGGCACAGGACCCTGCTGTGCTGTGCTGCACATTCCCCCTGGCCACAGGACAACCTCAGAGGGGTCATTGTAACGGAGCAGGACGTGGGCAGCTCCCACTCAGTACTGCCTGATACAACACGTGCAGTGGGGTGGCAAGGACAAAAAGTGGGACAAATCCACTCACACAGTTGGAGACGAGGATGAAGAGAAAAGTAGGAAGCAGAGGAGGCAATGAGAGGAAGGGGATCATGCTGCCCTGTGCAGCACTGACAAGGAGGAAAGCAGGTCCCTTCTGTCAAGCAGCAGCAGGTTTGTGTTCAGCTCCCTCAGCAGCCCAGCCACTGTGTTTCACTCTCAGCACAGAAATACGTGCCAGAGTCATTGAGAAAGGCATGCTCTATGGAGAGGGTCATCCCGTCTCCTTCTATCCCACTGCTCTTCAAATGGCTTTGGAAATCCACCTCCACATCTGCTTTCCCACCTACGAATGCAGAAACTACGAGGATCAGCCTGGAGTCCTTCCCCAAAGGCAGCTTGTACCAAAATAGAACTGTGCTGGTGGATTTCTTCTTGGAACAGCTGAGATTGACGGACTGGCCTTGGTGTATGACTGTGTCTGGGGACTGTTCCAGAGCCAACACTGGAAGGAAAAAAGGAGGAAAAAGGAAAAAGGTGCTGGTTAGGAGGTAAAAATGGTAAAAGATCACCTAGTTCCCATGGTTTGGTAGAGAAGAGGGAGAGAAGGGACAGGACAGCCTAGGGAGCCGTGCAAGGGATGGGATCAGCAGGTGAGTTTCCAGTTTCTCTCCAATAGGCATGAAACATTTCCAGGCAGTCTGTGTCTAAAACATGCACCATGTTGGTGCAGAGCACAGAAGAAAATATAGACAGCCCTGGCAGGAGATTCAGGGATTCGGGCCCAATTCATTCATTGCCCATCCTCAGCACAGGAAGCTTTGGGGAATGGAGCTCTGCCAGCAACTGGGTATGCCCCTGGGACAGCAGCAGTGGAATCCATGTAGGTGCTGAGGGGGGAGTTGAGTTCACTTACCCATAGGGGCCAGCATGGCCACCAAGAAGCAGGAGGGAACCATGGGGGAACAGACCCTCTCCTTCTTGGGACCTGCCTTTTGCAGCTGCCCAGAGATGTGTGAAGAGGAAGCCCTGAGTGAGGATGAGACCTACTAGACATGCTGGGGTTGGGCAGGACGTGAAGAGTGAGAAAGGATTGGCTGGCTGGGGACACTGGGGAAGGACACACACAACCACAGGAAACGTTCAACCCTGCAGAGATGGGGGGAGCAGTGTGTGTGTGCATGGGGAGGGGAGAAGGGGGCTGCATGGAGAGAACCATGCTGAGGTTGGATGGGAGTCTGAGCCTGTGCACGGCAGAGAAAAGACCTTCAGGTTCTTTCCCTCCATAAAACATCCACAGCTTGTCCACTGGTTCTGGGTGGTTACAGGAAGTGCATCTCACTTTGGGCACTCTGCACGTCCTACCTTCTCCACAGAGACAATACTTGGTAGAGACTTCTGACAACCAGGCTCTGATTTGCCCATGGAAGTTCCCCTGTCTCATCACTGCCTGCCCCGATCTCTATGGAAAACAAATCAAAACAAAACAAAACAAAACGGAAGACCGCATCTTAGGATGGTGTGAGGAAAATTATAGTTGAACCCTACACTTCCAGGCTGATTCTGCAGGGACCCCTGCCCTCAATTCTGTGGGCAACGGCCAGTGGAGCATACCAGGAGAGAGCAGAGGCAGAATCCCCTCAGCCATCAGATCACTTTCTGTACACAAAGATCTGTGCTCAGCTGCCTTTGCATCTGAATCAAGGTGGACCCTAACACAGCATTAGGAGACACAATCACTCCCTGAGGCAAAATCTGTTGAAAAGGACAAGCAAGAGCTCATCCTGCCACAGCTCTTGAAGGGGTTCTGAAATTCATCCTCAAACTCTGCCTTGTTTCCTTTCACTCAAAACACTGCAGAATGGTACCAGCTGCACTGTGGTGTCCTTTCTTTGAGCCTGCTCACACCATGGGATGGAGGGGCATGTGTTGCCCATCTGGAAAGAGCTGAGTGTCACAGCTCCTCCCTCTTTGATGACTGCACCTGGAGACTATTGAAGGGTGTCTCTCCCTGCCAGGAGACAAAAAAAAGACAAAGGAAGTAGTGGGAGGCCAGGGAGAAGGTGAAATGTTTTGAGGAGGAATGACATGAAAAGAAATCACAGAATCTAGCAAAGGTAAGAGATGGGATGGGATGGCGATGGGGGCAGAGCAGTGTGTCTGTGCATGGGGAGGGGAGAAGGGGGTTGCATGGAGAGAACCGTGCTGAGGTTGGCTGGGAACTTGAGTGTGTGCAAGGCAGAGAAAAGCTGAGAGCTCCCCTTCTCCTTCTGAAGTCCTTGAGAGCAGGAGAAATGAGGTGTGAGGGACACACATAGGTTCCCTTATATTTCCCCTTGTATTTTCCCTCTTTCCTGCAGCCATGGCTGGTTGATTTGTTTTTAGACATATATGAGGGGTCACTCCGTGTGTGTGCACACGTGTGTATATGTGCACATGATTATGTGTGTCTGTGTGTGTGTGCAGTGCTCCCTCCAGCCCTGGCCTGGCAGAGCTGGTGAGAGGAGTAGGGGAAGAAGGTAAATGCCTGTGAAGTGCCCAGGGCAGTCAATGTTCTGACACAGGGAAGAAGGAAGAAAGTTTTGAGTGTTGCCTGAAGAGGGAGGCCAGAGGGAAAAGAGGTGTGAGGAGTGGGGCTAGGGTGGCCTATCTCTTCGCCTTCCTCACTGACATGAAGTAGCCCAAGTTCCTCCAGAGATGGTTTCTCTGTGGGACCTAGGCCCTAGCTGGGAACCCTTGGGTGTCTCAGCCTGGTGCTGCCTCCAGGGCAAGGGTTTCTGGCAGCTCTGCTTCAGGCACACTGGGACGAGTGTGGCTTAAGAAGCCCGTCCGTCGGCACGAGAAGCTGCAGAGTGGGAGCCTGCGGGAGTGCCCCAACCTGGCCCATGCTTTGCACTTGCATGAAGTCAGGAAACCTTCTGTTAGCTGCACAGCTTGATAAAAAAATCCGCAATTTATATAATATCATTGGGAAAGGTAAACAGTGTATGGATCAAGGAGTGGGAAGTAGTGATCTTGACACAGAGACCTCTGTACATGGAGGAGTTAGTGATGCACAAAAGAGTTAACCCAAGAAAGCACAGGACCCTGCTGTGCTGTGCTGCACATTCCCCTGGCCACAGGACAACCTCAGAGGGGTCGTTGTAACGGAGCAGGACGTGGGCAGCTCCCACTTGGTACCGGCTGTTACACCACGGGCCTGGCCTTGCCTTTTCCTAGAGGTGCCCCAAGAACTTCTCATGCACAGACCCTTTCTGCTTGTCAGTGAAAATGATGAGCAGGATTACCAGAAGATAAGTGAGAGGGGGTCTGCAGAGTGCAGCTTGAAGAGAGACAGGATGAAGAAGGTGGGGAGAGAAAGGGAGGCAGAGACGGGAAGAAGCGTTAGAGGGAAGTGAATATCATGTCAGTGAGAGTTAAAGGAAGAGGGAGGCAAGGAGGAGTGGGGTGGCAAGGAGAGAAAGCAGCACAAACAAACTCAGAGAGTGTGACAAGAGGATGAAGAGAAGGCTGGGCAGCAGAGGAGGCAATGAGAGGAAGGGGATCATGCTGCCCTGTGCAGCACTGACAAGGAGGAAAGCAGGTCCCTTCTGTCAAGCAGGAGCAGGTTTGTGCTCAGCTCCCTCAGCAGCCCAGCCACTGTGTTTCACTCTCAGCACAGTAATATGTGCCAGAGTCATTGAGAAAGGCATGCTCTATGGAGAGAGTCATCCCGTCTCCTTGTATCCCACTGCTCTTCAAATGGTTTCGGAAAGCCTCCTCCACATCTGCTTTAACAGTTACATATGCAGAAGCCACAAGGATCAGCCTGGAGTCCTTCCCCAAAGGCAGCTTGTACCAGTAGATAGCTATGCTGTTGGATTTCTTCTTGGAACAGCTGAGACTGATGGACTGGCCTTGGCGTATGACTGTGTCTGGGGACTGTTCCACAGCCAACGCTGGAAGGAAAAGGGAAAACATTGAGAAGCAGGAAAAATTGGAGAAAGAACAGGACAGTCTAGGGAGCCGTGCAAGGGATAGGAGAGATCTTCAAATCAGCAGGTGAGTTTCCAGTTTCTCTGCAATAGGCAAGAAACAATCCAGGGCAGCTACTGTCTAAAAAATGACCCATAATGTTGTCTGTGCACAGAAGATAAAATAAACAGCCCTTGCAGCAGGTCAAGGGATTCTGGCCCATTTCATTCATTGCCCATCCTCAGCACAGGAAGCTTTGAGGAATGGAGCACTGCCAGCAACTGGGTATGCACCTGGGACAGCAGCAGTGAAATCCATGTAGGTGCTGAGGGGGGAGTGGAGTTCACTTACCCATAGGGGCCAGCATGGCCACCAAGAAGCAGGAGGGAACCATGGGGGAACAGACCCTCTCCTTCTTGGGACCTGCCTTTTGCAGCTGCCCAGAGATGTGTGAAGAGGAAGCCCTGAGTGAGGATAAGACCTACTAGACATGCTGGGGTTGGGCAGGACGTGAAGAGTGAGAAAGGATTGGCTGGCTGGGGACACTGGGGAAGGACACACACAACAACAGGAAACGTTAAACCCTGCAGAGATGGGTGGGCAGGACCAGGAAAACACAACAGCCCAAGCATTCTGCCTGCTGAAGGCTCTCATGGCATTTCCCTCATCCCTTTGCTCGGAAGAGCAACACAGTAGCTGCAGCTTCCAGCTGGTCTCCTGCAGGGAACTGAGAATCTCACTGCAGTTAGTTTCTCCTACTCTCTTGCAGCAGAGTTCAGAATGTTCCAGAACATCCCAAAGGAAGAGTGGCATGGAGGTGTCAGCTGCACCACACTATCCCTACCCATAGCACACTTCATCCTGGGACCAGGAGGGGCAGGAAAAAAGCAGGCCTGGGCAGGACCCCCTTTTCTGGCAGCTTTTCCCCACCCTCTTTCCTCTACAGAGCCACTGCAGGTACAGGAGATGCTCAGCTTCCTGGAACTGCCTTTGTCCACTCCATCCAGGCTGGTCACACACAGGTTGCATTACTGGAGGTGCTCCAGGCTGATGCAGTGACCACTGTGATGGGGATGGGATGTATCGCAGGAGTCACTCTGTGTGTGCATGTGTGTATGTGTGCATGCAGGGGTGTGTGTGTGTGTGTGTGTGTTGAGGGCCCCCTCTAGCCCTGGCCCAGCAGAGCTGGTGAGAGGGCTGGGAGAGGAAAGTAAATGCCTGTGAAGAGCCCAGGGACAGTCAATGCGCTGGCACAGGGAAGAAGGAAGAAAGTCTTGAGTGTTGCCTGAAGAGGGAGGCCAGAGGGAGAAGAGGTGCTGAGGACTGGAGCTAGGGTGGCCTCTCTCTCCACTTTCCCTACTGACAGGCAGTAGCCCAAGTTCCTCCAGAGATGATTTCTCCCTGGACCTGGGACTTAGCTCAGAACCCTTGGGTATCTCAGCCTGGTGCTGCCTCTGGAGCAAGGGCTCCTGGCAGCTCTGCTTCAGGAGCACACTTTTTCTGGCAAACTCAAGGAGAGCTCAGCAGCTGACACCACCTGTGTCATTGCCCCTGTGAATCAAGCTCTCCAATGCGGGTTCCTTGCCAGGCAGCATTGAGCTTGTCCTCCAGAGGTGGGGGGTGCTGAAGGTGCTGTGCCTGCGATGCAGCCGGTGGGACCACGGAGCTCTTGAAAGCAGTGTCCAGTGCAATTTCATGGACTTATGCTCTACCAGCGACACCTCCCTACTGCTCTGATCCCAAGCTCAAGAGATGTCCTCTCCACGGCGCCACCATGTGTTTCAGACGGCATCAGCTCTGTTTCACCATCTCACACATATCTATAGGTTCTTTACCTCTACAAAACGCCCTCAGCTTTTCCAGTGCTTCTGCGTGCTTGCAGGAATCCCATCTGGCCTTGGGCACTCTGCACAGCCTACCTTCTCCACGGAGACAAGACCTGGTGCAGATCCCTGACAGTCAGGCTCTCACTGGCCTGTGGAAGTTACCCTGCCCCATCCCTGCCTGCCCTGATCTCGACAGCAAAAGAGAGAAGGCTGCATCTTATGA